ATGTTAGTCCCACAGCAAATCTTTCAGTTTTAAACAATTTAGTACATTTGAATATATTAGCCATTACTCAAACACCTCTAGTTCTGCTTATTTAACTCATTCTTTAAAGTTTTAAAACAGTAAATATTTTCTCTAAATAAACAAAAAAGGAATAAAGTATGGTAAATCAACAGATGAAAGGTCAAACAAAGGTGGTATGCACGCATAACAGAGTATTAATCAGCCTTTGAAAGGAGGAGAATACTGTCACATGCTACAACATGGACAAAACTTGAATAAAATACACTAAGAGAAATAAACCAGTCACAAACGGAAAAATACTGTAAGGTTCCAATTGCACGAATTGTCTAAAGGGAACAAGTTTGCAGAAATAGCAGAGTTGCTGCCAGGTGCTGAGGAGAGGTGGGAAAGAGAATTATTTGTTTAATGAGTATGGTTTCTCTATTGAGTTTTACACTTCAAATGACTATTGTGGTAACTTTTATGTTCTATGATCGTCTACAGTAACGAAACGTTTTGGAAAATATTTGAATATTTTGACAGAAACATCAAATGCAAAAGTCACTAAAATGTCTCACATGAGAAAAAACAGGCATGAATAAAAATATAAAATAAGAATATATCAAATGAAGATAATCTGAATTAAATGTTATAGGAACATTTCATAGTTGTGAAATAGGACAAAGATACTAATTAATGTAATTCTGTTTAAAATGTACACTGGTTAGAAATAGAGTACCAAAATACACACTTAAAACTTTCAAACCAACAGAAAAAAAAATGAAATGAAAGAAAACAAAATATAATTCAGTGCACTGTATGAGAAGGCAAAGAGAGACAACTGAAGGAAATGACATGCAACATGTTTCATTAAAAATCACACAAACGGGCCAGGGATATAGCTCAGCGGCACAGCACCAGTGTGACAAGTGCAAGGACCTGAGTTCGAGTCTGAGAACCAAAAACAAAAAAAAAAAGATTTACTCAAAAATCACACAAATGTAAACATAAATGTAATTTTAAATAAAGATGAAACTCATCATACATGAAATAAAAATAAAATTGCACCTTATGCTATGAAAAGGGGTACACTTGAAAAAAAAGCTCACAAGCTGATTGGCTAAAGCAGCACAAAAATATACCAGGCAAAAATATTAATCAAAAGAGAGCATAACTTTATCAAAATCAGACAAAATAGAGGTTTAAACTACCAAGTAAGTAGAGATGAAGAGACTCACTATGTAACAAAAAGTTTAATCAAAAAGAGGTAATATATTATATATAATTATATAGTGACACAGAATGAAAAATATAAAACAAAAATGAAAAGCTAAGGAGTAATGAACAAGCATGTGAAAATAGTGATAGATATTAGCATAGCTTTCTAAATATTTGGTAGACTACACCAGACAAAAGTAATAATGTAGAGAACATATGAACAATTAGAAAGACTACTGCATCCATACAAATTCTGCATACAACCTGTGAACAAAATGTATTCTTTAATCATAGATTATTTTTATGCATATTGGTCACCTCGAAGGTCATATCAACCTGAAGCTATCTGAGGCACTCAGAGCCGAGGTTATGGTGCCTATCCAAAGGCAATTAACTGAGAAATTAATTTTTTAAAAAGATGATCAGAAAAACAGCATAATATGTTTTCAAATAAAAACGTATATGTTGCTAAAAAAAATGGATGGAGAATAAAAGATAACATCATTAGAATTACAATGTAACAATAATAATTTATGTCAGGCTCCTTCTGACACAATAGTACTTGGGGAAAATCATTGGCTGTGGAAATCAGGCTTGAAGTTAGGAGCCAAGCTTCCAGTTTAAGTTAGAAAAAGAGAATAAACTCAAATATTGGAACAATAATCTAAAGACACGAGATATGAAAATGAGTTAACATTTTTCACTGCCCGCCTACAAGAAGTCAGCTTATCTACTAATCATCTTAAAAATATTAAGAAAAATAAAATAAAAGATGTTAGTTTTGTTGTTCTCTTCTACTAGCAACATTTTGGAAAATATAATTTTACTGGTAAGCATTCATACAAGAAAAGTCAATTCATTTTGAAAGCTAATGGTATAGATATTTCAACTGAATTAGAGGGACTTTCCCCCAACTGGCTGTTATGAATTAATTTACTTTAATCTTGTTTCAAAACTTTTCAAAATGTGTAAATTTCTCTTTTGAAAAACAAGCATTTTTAGGGCTGGGGATACACCTCAACAGCAAAAACACCTGCCTGGCAAGCACAAGGTCCTGAGTTTGATTCCTGGTAACCACAAAAAATAAAAATAAAAACAAGCAGCTTTAAACTTCCTCTCAAAATTTGTCATCTTTTAAAATTTGGTTTCCAGTAAGTTTTTACAAATGCTTGTTGGCTTGTATGACCACATTACCAAAGAGACTTCTAATTATTAATTGCAACTATAAAGATCTATAAATGTATTCACAGATTTCAAGTAATCTGTAACTGTTTGCATATAAAAGTATTTATGTTACACAAGTATTTCACCCAAAGAGTTTTGTTTTGTTTTGTTTTGTTTCTTTCTGGTACATGGAACTGAACTCATGACCTTGTGCTTGCCAGACAGGCCCTGTGCCGCTGAGCTAAATCCCCAGCCCCCACCCAAAGAGTTTTTACTGTGGATATTGCAAGGCACTGGGGCCAGCTCTATGACAGTTCTTAATGATATTCAATTGTCATTAGCAATACCAAACATTTTTAAACTACAATGGCATTCTACCAAAGCTAATGAGCATGTTTAAATAATTCCCAATAAATTATACAAGTCATGCAATGACTATTGAAAATAAAGATTAATATCAACACTTGCTAATATTAATACATATTGCAGACCTGAGATTTGATTTCAAGACAGAATCCAGAATTAATACACTTTTTGACTTCATTTTGTAGCAGTTTTAAATTTTGTAATCAAGCAAATTAAATATGACAAAGGAAATTTTGTCTGCTTTTTCAATTTTTGTATGTTTAATCCCTTTTTTTGCCTTCACATACTGACTATGACTTCCAACAAAACATTGAAAAGGAAATGGTGGTAATGGATATTCTTGTTTTTTAATTATCTGAATAGAAAAATTTTCTCTATTACCCAATAACAATGAGTAAATTTTTTGTTCTCCAGGATTAAAAACTTTTCTCTTCCTAGTTTTCTCAGGGTTTATTGTTTTTGCTGAACCATTAATAGAACTTTTTCTTCACCTGAGATACTCATCCAATTATATGTACATGTACTATGTAGATAGATATATAGATGATAGATAGATAGAAAGATGATTGACAGACAGACAGACCTATATACATATATAATCATATATATCCATTTGATTTGGTTATTTGGATAGAATTTGTATATCTGTATTGATATATGAGTTGATATGTTTTCTTGTCTTATACTTTGTCTGTCACAAGTGTTATCAAGATTTTCTAGCCAAGTTGTTATGGTTTGTGTCTGGATGTGCCCACAAAGCCTCATGTGGTCATGCAGGGGTAGGCTTTTCAGAGGCCTGAAAAGAGCTTGTGATTGGTTCATTTTCCTGTGCTGAGATTGGGGTGTGAGTGCTACACCCGCCATAGGGCAGGTAGCCTGCGTACAGCATAAGGGAGGAAAAGAGTCTGGCTCCTCCTTTTGCTCTTGCTGCTTTTGCTGTCTTCTGCCACCATGAACTGTTGGCCCTCTGCCAGGCCACCCTGCCTTGGAACCAGCCAATTATGTACTAAAACCTCTATAAACTGTGAGCTAAATAAACTTTTCCTACTTTAACTGTGTGTGTCAGGTATTTTGTCTCAGCAATGAGAAAAAAGTAACTAAGTCACACGTAAATAAGAGACTATATCTTCTTTCTTTCTCCTTTTTAGAGTTTTATACAGACTATTATTTATTTTTTCCTTCAGTGTTGTATAGATATCAATAAAGCCCTTTGAGTCTGTTTTCTTTGTTAGAAAAAAAAATCTAACTATCCAGTTAACTAGTAAATCGATTGCTTTGCTGGTTGTAGAAGTATTCAAGTTTTTAAAACTTGCTTTTATATAAGAACTTGAAAATAATTTGTAGGAATTTGCTTTTAAGTTACAATTAAATATTATTCTTTTATTCTCATTTTAATGTATAAACTATGAATGGGTACAGTAATCTCTCAAAAATTAAATAATTGTGTTTTCTCTATTATTTTTATTTTTCTTGATCTTTTTTCTATTCTTCTTTTTTCAAAACTTGTTCAAAATAGCAACTTCTTCATACTTCCTGCCATTTTCTTTTGGTACCAAGAATCGAACTCAGGACCTTGTGCTTGCCAAGCAGGCACCTGTGCCACTGAGCTATATCCAGCCCAGCTATATCCCCAGTCCCATTTTCTTTTCATGTTATCAGTTTCAGTTTTTATTGTTTTCCTCTCTAAATAAGTTCTCTTTTATTTTCCTTTCCTTTTTCTAACCTCTTTAGATAGCTAGCTCATTCATCTTCAGTCCTTTTATTTCCTAATGTAAGCACATAAGTCTAGGAATTTCCTCTTAAGTACTACTTTAGTCACATTTTACAGGCTTTATATTCACAATTCTAATTATAATTGAAAAGAATTTCTAATTTTTAATATAATTTATTCTTGGCTAAACATTTAGCTATATATTTTTAAATTGCAAAATCTCTTCTTGGCAAAATTAAACATTCATCCCTATACTTTTAGAATGTAAATGTGTAGCTTTTCATCCTTATCTTCCTGATACTGACTTTTAACTTAATTTCATTATGTCTGAGAATATAATTTGTCTTATTTCAACTTTTTTATGGCATTTACATTTTAAAATTATGTCTTGTAAAAATTCCTAGTGAGCAATTTTCACTGTTAATTGTCTGAATATCTGAAAAGTGAAGTAAGAATACATGATAAAGAAGATCATATTTGGCAATGATCAACCTGTTTGCTTATAGGAGACTAACATGGAACTTATGATTCTTTAAAGTACCTTCTCCCCAGGGGTCACAGAGACCCTCCAGATGCAGTGTGTGTAGGAAGGGTAGCCATTTGGGAATCCTGGAGAGGAGAGGTTGCCATTGGATTCCTGTAGAGTCTCTCCACAAGCTGAAAGCAAAAAAAGAAGAGATGATTCTTTACTTTCTTTATGAGGAGCACACACAGCATTAGCAATGTGATAGCCAGTGGTATACATTTGTCTTTTATAAAATACTTTCCTAAGTGAATTTTTATGTCTCTCTTACCAGAATTTCAGCGCTCTTGATGGCATCAGTAGCACAAACCATAAAACAAGACTATGAGAGAAATAATCTTACATTCATAAACTAGTTGCTTATTCATTGCAAGCAGCCAATTTAAAGGGCATGTTCAGGTCAGCGAATATTTCATTGATGTGGCTCTGGGACCAGGAAACAGTTCATTACTACATCCCATGGGAACTGAGGCAACATTTAACAGTGAGTACCATTTCAGGGTTAAAAAAAAAAGTAAATGGCAACTAGTAAAAAGATGGCATTGAAATTCATACATGATGAATTGTTTTTAAAATAAGAAAAATAGTGAAAGATAAAAACATGGAATGTTCAGATACATCAAAAAATCTAAGTATTTATTTACTGTCTCTTTTATGGTCCCCATACACAGAAATTGCTAGAAAAACAATAAGTATTTTTGGTTTTACTGAGCATGTTTTATTCCCTGGAAATAGTTATCAAGGTATCTGAAATAGCAAACTGTGGGCTGCAAAGCACTAAGATCTTCATTTGGCCAAGGCTACGGCACTACCAACAGTTTCACCATTGTTTTTTGCAAGACATGGTATGGAGCACACGAACCTAGACTGCTACAAGAGTATTTATTCAGAATGATTTTTCCAGGGCAGCAAACATCTTTATAACTTCCACTCAACACACTGAAGAAACAGTTCCTTCCCTCTGAAGGAGATTGCGCTCAAAACTGAGACATTACCATATTCCAGAGCAAGAGCTACCAGCGGGTCAAATCCTCAATAAATTATAAATGGGCCTGCATATCTTATATTAAATAAAGAAGGGAAGATAATGGCTCTGAAAGCATAAAACAGAGCTATAAAAACAGTCTGATGCAATATAAATATTTATTCAGGAAAACAGATATTAAGGTTTGCACTATAAAGTAAATCTAAAGCAGGAGTAAGTGAAGTTTTTTCTGATGAACTAGGCAGGTTAAAGGAAACTTGGATCAAAATGAAAATCCTCAAGGTCAAAAATGCATAATTTAGCACTGTTGAATGCATTATCTAGGGCGCTGGATAAATGCCAGGTTAAAAGAAGCCTTAGAAAAATGAAAATGTGTTAAGATTTTTCTTACTATAAACAATATGCTTTAAGTAGCATCAACTAATTGTGTTTCATTGAAAAGCATTACAATTTACAGCAGTTTAAAAATAAATTCTATAATGATTTAAAGCCCCTCTAAACCAGAGAGGGTGTTCGCACTGGTTTTGTTAAAGTAGAATTGGGCAATTAACTAATCCACAAATACAAATGATATTGCTCTGATTAAAGAGAAACTCTCTTACAACACATAAAACAAAATATAACATATAATTCAAAACTTAGGTCCATAACATAGTGCCTACTTATAATGCAACAGGTACAAACATCTGAAGTTTGTGTAATCACTTGTTAATGTTCCTCAATAAATGTGACTGTCGCAGGCTACACATCCCTACCACACAATGTTTCAGCACTCTTTCCAGCTGTTTGTTGATTTATGTTCAGGTATTTAAATACTTTATTACTCAAAGAACTAAAAGGAAATTAAAAAAGAAAAGGTGGTACTCTTAAATTCAAATACTATATCAACAGCAAGGCAAAGGGACAAAAAGACAAATTTAAGTGCTCAAATTGTTATTTATTAATTATGTCATCATCTTTATAAGATTGCTTTGTAGAAGTTAAATATGCTGTTTTCTTAATCCTCAAATACCTTTCACAGGTAATGAAAATCAATGGTCATAGAGTAAAACTACGTTTTGAACTACAACTACTTCCTGAGTAATATTTGAGAAAACAAAAGCACAAAGAACTACAAAGGGACAAATTATTATGATCAGTCTTTCAGTAAAAATTACAGTACCACAATTAATAATAGGTAAGTCTTTTTGAAACAGCCCAAATGACAACAGATGAATGGACATAGAACATGTGGTACGTATATAACGTAGTGGCACTCAGCAATAAAAATGATGAATTTGAGTGATTTGTAGGAAAATGAATGCACCTTGAGACCATAATGCTAAATGAAATAAATCAGATGCAGAAGGTTAAATATTGCATGGTTTCTTATATGAGAAATGCAAAGCATAAATGATTTAAAAAGAAATAAAAGAGAGATAATAACAAACAGGAGTTAAATATTGTGGGGAAAGGAAACAGATCTGGAGATGGAAAGATAGGCAGAAGAGGAGGAAAAAACGAAGTAAAATAGATCAAGATGTGATGTGATGTAATGACAGATAGATAGATAGATATAGATAGATACATATAGATCCATAAATTCCGCATGATGAATATAATTCTTACATTCTACAAACCACAAACATACACTAATTGTAAAAATGGAAAAATTCTTACTCAAAAGAAGATGTAAAGACAAAAATCACAAACATAAACATAAAAAATACACCATTATTTGACCCAGATCACTGCTGAATTAGATAGTGCACATGTATCTTCTTCTTCAACATGGAAAGTTTGTACTTGAATTGCATAAACATAATATAATGGTGTATTGTTGAAGAGTTATTATATATCCTCATTATTTTAAAGGCAGGTTTTAATTTACAAGGGACTATACAACCTTCTACAGATGTTATTCCTGTCAAATATTTACCACATTGAACAAATATCAAAAGCTGAGCCGGGCATGGTGGCGCACACCTGTAACCCCAGCACTTGGGAGGCTGAGGCAGGAGGATCATTGCAAGTTCGAGACCAGCCTGGGCTACAAGGTGAGCTCAAGGCCAGCCTGAACTACAAAGTGAGACCTTGTCTCAAAGAACCAAAAGAGAAAAAAATGTTGAGAATCTCACTTTTTCCATATTCTGCAAGAATACATTTATAAACTGGGTATGGATGGAAAATGTGAGGCCAGCCTGGGCAATTTATTAAGAATTTGTCACAAAATAAAAATAAATTGAAAGAAGGCTGAGGATATAGCTCAGTACAAAAGTCCTGGGTTCAATCTCCAACATAAAAAAATTATATAATTTTACTAAGGGTAATATAAAACATGATTGCCACACAGTAGTTTGCATTAAGTTAATATCCAAATAAAGAGATAAACTCTAGTTTATGTAAAGAAATAAAAAACAGTCTAATCAACTTAATAGTATCTAATTTATAAATTATTAATAAATCCACAACTCTTAAAGTTTTAAAAATTATTTGTTTTAAGATTACTTGTAAAATAAAACATGTAGTAAGAGGAACTGAAAGCCACTAGCTGAGCAATATTGGTAAGATACATTGCTAGAAGATTTAAAACACACTTTTGTCATAACTGTACAGCTGTGCATTGTCAGTTATATAACATGATAGGTTATTATCCTCAAAAGCTCTTTTACTTTGAGATATCACTTTTTTATATTTTTATTAAATTCCTATGCTAGATTATTATATAGTTGGGATCTTAGATGCCCCCCCAAAGACCATGTAGTAAGGAATTGGTCCCCAGTGTAGAGCTATCAGGAAATGGAAGAAACCTTAAGAGATACAGCTTAGATGAGTTGCTCAGGTCGTGGAGAGATGCCCTTGAAGGAGGATGGAGGTCACAGCTCCTTCTTTGTCCTCTCTGTCGCTTGCCAGCCGTTAGCTGAGCGCCTTTTCTCTGCTAGACTCCAGCCATGGTGTGTTGTTTTGCCACAGACCCAAAAGGAATTGCACCAATCAGTGGTGTATCAGAATGTTCAAAGCTGTGTGTCTCAATGCAATCTTTCTTCTTTATAAGTGGTTGAATCTCAGGTATTTGTTACAGTAACCCAGAGCCTGTGTGTCACATAGCTAACTAAGAAAGACTGGGAAAACTGGAAATGCAGGAAATATTAATGCCAACACTTGGTCTAATTTAAAAACTAGTTTTAAGCAAACAGGTCATGGGATTGTTGAAAAACTGAATGATGACAAAATGCAAGTAAAGACCAATGACTGTAGAAGAAGAAGAGTTAAATTAATATCTTAGAAATAGGAAAGAAAACTAACATAGTCTTAACATTAGAGCACATAAAATACATCTAGAAAATAAAAATCACAAGAAAAAAAGAGGCTCAAAAAAAAGAGAACAAACAAATCATTGAGGAAGAGAAGAGATGCTCTAATTCATGTGCCTTAGAAAGGATCACCTTCACCAGCAAACTGCTAATCATTGGGATAAAGGATGATGAAGAGTTGTCATGGTGACCCAGCCTTCACTCCCATATGGTTGTTTCCTGTCCTAACAAGATTTAGAATACAAGGAATTATAATGACAGGCAATTTGGATCAACTGCTGTCCTTCTGGGGAAGCTTAGAGGCCATCACAAGGACATAGGACTGGCTTTGGGGGAGCAAAGTTGGGAAATCTATTCAATTCCAAGGTTGAGCAGCTCCGCCCTCCCTTCCCCTGCCCTTTCTGAGGCTCGTGATAAGATGATTTTAGAGGGTCTGATCTCAGCAGTGTCAGGCTGTGAAGGATCATTCTCATCTTCTTTCCTTATACAATGATTCATATGCAGACTTTTTATTAGCCTGTCTCTAAAATTAAGAGCAAGAAATTCCAATGAAAACAATCCTAGACTATAAGCAATGTCCCCTCTAAGCATCATCTTAAAAATCTAACTTCACACTTGTGTTGAGTTCTCATGATGAATAGGCACTGGATATACCTTAAGTAAAGTTTCATATGTCAATTTAACTTATATTTGAAAATCCATAAATTGATAAATATAAAAATGGATTATAAGGTGTTGAAAGTCACACAGGATAACAATATTACTTTACAAAATTAAAAATGTACACATTTTCAGTGTGGTTTACAAAATTACCAATACACACATTTTGAATGTAGCTTAATATATACATTTTAAGGTAAACCACATTAAAACTATAAAACCATAAAATCATTCTTTGTGTTATTTAAGAGGAAGCAACAATATTCACAGTCTATTAGAAAATTGCCCTTTTAAACTTAGGGCACTATGTATCAAAGACCATAAAAGCCATAACCTTGTCTTTAGCTATATACTTTACTATCCCAGTGAACCACCTTTCAAAATGAAACTAAGAAATAGCTCTATAAAATGCAGAGCAAATAGAGTCTTGACTATAAACTGATGAGAAAAATGTTGACATAAAATGTGGTTAAATATATTTTACTGGCTCACCGCTGATTTCTGAGAATAAGAACAAGGCCAACTCCAAAGGAGTACACAGGGTCACATTCTTTTTAGCTCTCCCTTGATCACGTAGTTCATAAGCTCTAATACAGCAATGTGCCTTTTATAGTACTTTAAAAATATAAGATGCCTTTTGCAGATGATAATGCTTTCATCAGTATAATTTTACTGTACTAAACAAAACAATGTATATTTTAATTATGTCTATTTATGTTAATTTACACACTATCTCAAAAGGAAACTAATTCTTTTCCTGTTAATAACTGAAATATGAAGAGCCATAGTTTAAAATTTAATTGTGTTGTCATAATTTGATTATTTTTTCATTCCTACTGACTTTTGTACAATTTAGTATTCAATCACATCTCAGTGTGCTTTTATATAATATGTATATACATACACAATGTGATGAAAAAGTACAGTGAATATCTATCTTTGTAATAAGTATTTACTATAGCAAAAGCCACAATGTCATTAATGCCCCTCAAAATACTTCCTTTCTTCAAAACACTTATTCTATCATTATTCCCAATGTCTTGTGCCATAGTGGTGCCATTCTCTTAGAAATTCATTTTTCCTATAGGAATTTACAGTAAAAAGTACCACTTAAGCATCTATGTATTTTACATACATGTATAAAACATTTAATTCAAATGCATTTATTTAAATATGAATGCAATGTATGCAAGTATCCTGAAGTAAATTGATAAATGTTAAATAGAAGTATCTTCATATATATGGAAAATTATGTTACATAGACAAGTAGGTACAGGTAGATTAATGTATAAAAGAATACAATTTAAAGCTTACTTGAAATATTGAAACCCTAGGTTGTAAATCTTTTCAGTACAGCTTTAAATTTCAAACTATCTGAAAACTGCCCTTCTGAAAATTTAATGGACCTCAATTACAGAGTAACTATCAGAATAAAATTGAAAATAATTCACAGTTTTCTTTAGCAAGCCTGATTTTAATGTAGAGGAAATCACTTCTCTTTGCAGAAATTTTAGCAAAATCTACTGAGTAGCATCAATGAATTAGTGCCTGTACCACAGTGAAGTATGAACTTTCTAGCTATTTCCTGTGCTTATTCAATCCATTGACTTTTTATGGTTTGCAGTTTATCTACTCAACAAAAGGGATCTAAACCATATGCCAGCAAGTACATTTTACATTTTTAGGAGGGAAATATCTCATCCCCTTCTCTCTGTATCCTAAGGGGAAAATTTCTGGAATGACATCATAGTCACGAAAAACTTAATAGACCAATTTCTCAGGAAATTAATAGATCAATCTGAAATAATTATTCATTGAACATTCAGATTAACATGTCCACCATACCTCTGATTTTCTGCAAAATATTATTCGTATAGCAGCCAATTAAAACTTTTTTACTTAAGTTACCACCTGCAAGTGTAGTATCCAGACCAACACTTCCAACAGCCCATTCCACAAATTGGTATCAGGATAAAGGAAGATTGCTTGGACAAATAATTTGAGGAAAGCTGTGTTAAGTAAAATTAGATATTTTTCTTTGGCAAGTACACAGGAGGTAAATAGAGTGCAGAATATTTCCGGTTTAGAATGGAATCTTTTCGTTTCTGGAATCATCACCATAATAGTGCTCCAATGGACTATTCTGACTAATACTTTATTCAGTACCAAAATATATAGTAGGTCATTAACAAGTGGTTAGCAATTTCTTTGCAACAAATTTATGAACTCTTACTTATTAAAAAAAAAAAACTTTTAGATAGTTCTGGGTGTTAAACCCAGGGCCCTGGTATTGAGCTACATCTCTATTTCATTTATTATTTTTTATTTGGTTACAGGATCTTGCTGAATTGCCCAGGCAGGTCTCAAACTTGGAACCCTCCTGACTCAGCCTCCCAGTATCCTGGGATTACAGCCCTGCAATTACCACCAGGCCTGGCTTGATAATATTTTAGTGTATATTCCACTAATGATGGTTCTTGCATAGAAACATTACTCAGGATCAGATTCTGAAAAGATGTTCTTTTTAGGCAGACAAGAGAAGAGCATTTGACTATAAAATCCTGCAACCATTTTCTAAGGAACAAACCACCATTCTATTTGGCTATTTTACTCATTAAATGAAAAGAAATTAAATTAATGATTAAAATGAAAATAAATTCCTGTGTTTAAACTTTGATATCTGGCAACTTGTTTTTACTTAAAACAAAAGGTATTTCCATGTTCTTTTCTGTCTCATTTAACAACTACTGATTTTGAACTGTCCGTATCATTTTCCATCACAGAGAAAGACAAGTAAACCCTTGAGGAATCTGTGGCTTGAGCATCCGGAAGAGCACAGTCCGGACGACTATGCTTCCGGGTTATATGGTGCAATACCTGGACATCTATACAGCTTTCTTGCCTGTGCAATATCTCCTTTGCTCAACCGGGTCCGCTGGCCAATTACTGGCCGAATGCCATTGTCATCACGGGAGGGGAGGATGGTGTCCAGAAACATCCCCCTGAAAAAAAACAGATGCAAGCCACATCTAAGTCACCAAATTGAAACAACCATATTCTTAGCAAACGTAAGGATTTTTTTTTTTTTTTTTTTTGCAAAGTTAAGTCAATCAAAGGAGGAATATATAAGTACAGGCTTTAAGCAGTGCTAGGGGTTTTCCAACCACTTTCATCAAAGTAAAAATAAAACTGTGTTAAATGTGTGGGTTAAATGTTTATACCCTCATATAAAGTCCATGACATTTGTTTTTTTCCTTAGAAACATATATGATATGCTCACAAAAATATGAAATACCAACAGCCCCCACAAAGTCCATGGCTTTTGTATTAGTCATTCATGAAGGTCTAAGAACTCCTTAGTTTACCAGCTAATAAAACAATTCTTCCCCATGAATGAAAAAAATGTAAGCACCAAACCAGAAGTTAATTTGGGGGGGGGGTTAAAACAGTCATTTAATGTAACATTCTCAGAAGCCTAAATGTTATTATAATATATATTATTGTAATAAGTAAAAAAGACTGTAGGCTTTAGACAGGACAATGGAAAACAAAATTACATACATTTATAAATATAACATTTTTTCATATTTCTATAGCTAAATCAATCAGCAAAAAAAAACTTAAGCAATGTCTTAATAAGGCTAAACTATAGACACTAAGTTAGATTCAAGGTTGATATGGAAGACTTTCTATTTTTCCTAATATGCATAATTTAAAACTCTGACTACAGTGTACTGAATATACAATCTAACTTTGCGTAGTATATCCAACACTTATAATTCTAAAGGGGGCACTAAACTTGAAAATTAAATGGACTGGGAGATTATTCCAAGGAGTTTAAAAGTATGAAGTTTGTGGATGCGGATTTCCAGTACAATAAAAAACAAAAGGAGAAATTTGTGCAGAAATATTTAAAATTAAACATTTCAATTATAGATTATCTTTTAAATTCAGATGATCAATGAGACCTTCCATTCCAAATTTATAAATGAACATATTACATTTAAAGTAACCTAATGGAACAAAACTATTAGCACTACTTATTCCTTTCATTCTCAAATAATTATTAAACAGTTCTTGGTCTTTGTTTGTTTTTTGTTTGTTTGTTTGTTTGTTTGTTTTCTGGGAATCGAACTCACAACTTCGTGCTTGCCAGGCAGGCACTTGCGCCACTGAGCTCTATCCCCGGCCCCAGTTCTTGGTCTTAAGTTACACTGGCTAATCAAAAAGAAGAACAGAAATTCTTCTCTTTAAAATTTTAACAGTATAATGGGAGAAAAGGGATCACCCAGATAGTAAAAAGTATTATGGAAAAAAAGTAAAGATGAGAAAATCAATATTGACTGTAGACTGTTATATAGCTTTTAAATAAAGCAGTCAAAAGAAAACACACTTAGAATTTCACATTTTAGTCAAACAAGAAGGAAGTGAAGTTCAGAAGTATATGTGTAACTGGGAAAGAGTTCCCAGAAAGAATAGCAAAGGTAATGGGTCACAAGTGAAATTCCCCTCAAAGAGAGGCAGTCAGGGAGCTTGACTCTTACCCACTGATAATGGTTAACCTGTAGGAAAATAATAAACAAAAGAGTAACATGATATATGAGTCACATGATGTATGAGTAACTTATGACAAAGTGCTTCAGCTGCTGTGTATGAAAGAGGATGATTACCTTTAGGTATAGCCTGAATAACTCCACTGGGGAGAATCTGACTCTCGCCAATCAGATCTAAGAATGTACAAAACACCGTATACTGCCTGATCTGAGAGTAAAGAGGTCAAGACAACGATTTATGGGAATTGATCATTAAAAGTGATCACCAATGCCTGTTGTAAGATGACACTTCAAATACAACAATGTAACTGAAAAGGTAAATTAAATTATAATTAAATTAAAGGTAATTAAATTATAAGGTAGCAGTGAGCACAACCTTGTTCAATAATTCTTCATGAATCAACAGATACAATAAGTGGGTAGATCTAAATTAATGAAGTGTTACAATTACTAACAACACCATTTTCTATTCCTAAAAATAAATTTATAATCTTCTAAGTTCGATTTCCAGCTGTCAAAAAAATTCAAGTTAAATAGAACCTTGACAAAGGAGCCAAAAACCCATGCTGGAGGAAAGATAGCCTCCTTGACGAGTGGTGCTGAGAAAACTGACTATGTACGTGAGAAGATTGGATCTAGACCCGTGTCTCTCATCATTTAATTAAATAAAATCAAAATGGATCAAGAATTTAAATATTAAGACAGAAAAAAATCTGCTGGAAGATGAAATAGTGAAAACTTTTGAACAAAGGCATAAGCACGGGCTTTTTGAACAAAACACCAGTTACACAAGAAAATAACAATACCACATTTAAAAATTCTGCACAGCAAAGGAAACAACCAACAAAGTGAACAGACAACCTACAGAATGGGTAGAAACTTTTAGACAGTCTTAGTTTCTTTTCTCATTGCTGAGACAAAATACCTTACACCCAAAGTAAAAGTAGGAAAGGCTTATTTAGCTCACAGTTTGTAGAAGTTTCAGTCTATAATTGGCTGGCCCCAAGGAGGATGGAATCACAGAAGAGAAGCAGTTTATGGTACGCAGAAGGTAGCAAGGCAAGAAGAGGTGACCATAGTTTTTCTATCCCTTACATTTTATCCAGACTACTTAGGGCAGGCAGCACTCACACCCTTAATCTTAGTGCCCTTGATCATAGCATTGCATCATGAACCAATTGCAGCATCACACACTCTACATCCAGCCACCTCTGAAAAGCCCCACCTATGACTGCCTGAAGCTCTGGGGAGACATCTAAACACAAGCACTAAATAAAAGAACAAGGACTAAATAAAAGAAATAAAAGACCCAGTGAAAAACTTGGCAACTTAATTGAATAAACACTTTTCAGAAGAGGAAGTGCAAGTGGCCAATAAATACATGAAGAAATGCTCATCATCTTTGGCTATTAGAAAAATTCATATTGAAACAACATGAAGATGCCACTTACTCCAAGAAAAAAGGTCATCATCAAGATATCAAATAAAAACAAATTCTGATGAGGCCATGAGGGAATTATTAATTAATTATTAGTAGAATTGTAAACTAGTACAACCACTGAGGAAATCAGTATGGAGCTTCCTCAAAACACTGAAAATAAAAATACACTTAACGCAGCTATTCCACTTCTATGTGTACTCTCATGAGAAACCACTTTGAAGATATCAATATGTAATACAACAAGCATTGTTAATTCCCTACCACTCTGTTTGTAACTATGTACTGTCTGTACTGATCCTTTGCTATTTTGTAAAATGTTGTCTGTCTGTTAGTGTTTTCCTCCTTTTATTTTTAAAATTAAAAAAAAAAGTTAAAAACAATACATTGTAGTGATATATGCATATTTATAGAACTACAACTCATAATAACTAAATCTTGCAGGTGGCCTATGTGTGCAGATGAATAGATAAAGAAAATGCGGTATTTATTCTCAATGGTGTAGTATTCTTGCATAAAGAAGGATAAATTTGAATCACTTCTAGGAAAAGAGGTACATCTTGGGGCAATAATGTTAATGGAAACACGATGCAGATCATTAAATATCACATAGTTTCTCTTATATTAATCCCAAAGTATACATAAATTAAAGAGCAAACTAGAAGATAGATAACAGGAAGTAGCTAGACAGATCTTTTTCAAAATGGAAGCAGATCAAGAGATGAAGAGGGTTGAGAATGGAGGAGAAATAAACAGAATGAAGGTGTGTGATATAAATGTACTAACCTCTCACAATAAATGTAATCATTATGCACTGTAAACATATATTAATAAATTTTTATTACAAATAATGCACTGCTAGAATTGAACAGTAAATTTTAATTAAGTAAATTTGTTTTTTAAATAAATAGGTCTAGGGCATGGGGGAGTGCATATGCTTATTTTCAGACAACAGAATGATTAAATTTGGCTCAAGATGTACTGAGGTGACATCTCTTCCATTTCTAAGACGGTTCTTTACTTGTGCCTTTGTTCTTTCTTATCAGAAGTTAATAATCCTCTTTCTCCATGTTCTGGTGATTAAGAAAAGTGAGCTGTTACTAGAACCTCCTTACTAAGGCACTACCAATGGGCCTGAGAGAGTGCAATGAATCTCCATTCTTCATTTGCTTTAATTACAATAAAAGGACAATTTAGCCAAAGGAGCCTTGTAAAAATTTATAACTCTTTTCTTGACTAAAAATGGGTAGGCTCTAGTTTCCAAGCATCCATGCACATTAAAGCTTCATAGATAAAAGCTCTATTCTTTCAACAAGTGAGTTCCTAAATCTACTGATGAGCTACATTCATGAAAACAACTGGAACTTTTATAGACCATTCAGAATCTACAAAAGATTACAAATAAAAGGAACTATAGAACTTAAAATACTTACATTTTCACCATGAAAGACAAAAATTTTATGATCACCTCTATTGATATAAAACACGTATTTGACAGAGATGAACATTCTTTCATGATAAACTCTCAAAAAATTAGAAATAGAAATTATCTCAACATAATAGAGACATATGTATAGAGCCCACAACTAATATCACACTCATGATGAAAAGCAAAGCTTTCCCCCTGAGTTCAAGAACAAGGTAAGGATACCTATTCTCAGCACTTCTACTCAACAGAGTACTTGAAGTCCAGACCAGAGTAATTAGAAAAAAGAAAGTAAAAGGAAGGCCGGGAAGGACAGAGGGAGAAGAAAGTAATAATATGAACCCAAACTGAAAAGAAAGAAGTCAAATTATCTCTAAATACAGTATCCATAATCTATATGTAGAAAACTCTAAATACTTCTCTTCATCTCTCTCTCTCTCTCTTTCTCTCTCTCTCTCTCTCTCTCTCACACACACACACACACATACACACACCCCTGTTAGAACTAATGAACAAATCCAGCAATGTGGAATATAAGACCAGTTTCATTTCTATTCACTAACAAACAAAATCCAAAAGGGAAATGAAGAAACACATTGCATTTACAATAGCATAAAAAAGAATAAAAATGACTTAGGTATAAATCTAACAAAGAATGAAAAAGATGAATAATGAAACAGAACTGGTTGTCAAAGTAAATTAAAGATGAGCCAGGCATAGTGGCGTATGCCTGTAATCCTAGCACATTGGTGCTGAGGCAGGAGGATCACAGGTCTGTGTCCAGCCTGAGTTACAGAGAGAGTTTAAGACTTGCTTGAATTATATATGGAAAGCCTGTCTCAAACAAACAAACAAATCAACAATAAAAAGGAAAAAGAAACAAAGAAGAAACAAATAAATGCAAAGTCTCTGCTCTCATGGATCAAAAACCTTAGTATTTTAATAACTAATATTACCAATAACATCCAATATTTAACTAGAGATTAAATTGAATCCCTATCTAAATCCCAATTATATTTTTCCAAAAATTTAAAAAAAAAAACCCTAAGAATCATGTGCAATCTCAAAAAAACACCACGTATCTGAAACAATTTTGTAAAGAAAACAAAGTTGAAGAAGTTGCACTCAAAATTTGAAGGAACAATTTCAAACTATACTACAGAGGAACAGTAGTCAAAAGAGTATAGTAGTGTCATAAACACAGACCTAAACATGAATTAAATAAAATAGAGGCCCAGAAATAAGCATCACATATATGGTCAAATTATCTGCTACAAAACTATCACAACCATTCACTTGGAAAAGAAGAGTGTTTTCAACAAATGGTGCCAGTAAAACCAAATATCAGTTTCTGGTGCCACAGGCAAAAGAACAAAGTTAGTCCTTAATTTTATGCCATTTTACAGAGTTAACTCAAATGGATTTAAGATGTAAACATAAAATGTAAAACTTCTAAAGAAAATAGAGAAAGTTTTATGATATCAGATATGTCGATGATTTTTTTTAATTTGATACTGAAAGTATAAGCAATGAAATTGAAAATACATTACTAGGGCTACATGAAATTTAAAACACTTTGTGCATCAAATTGACACAATAAACAAAATTAAAAGGTAACATATGGAATGAGAGACAACTGCAGATCATATATCTAGAAAACAACTAATATCTAGAATATATAAAGAACTCCTACTACTCAACAACAAAACATCAACAACCTGATTTGAAAGTGAGCAAAGGCATTGAATACACACACATCTCAAAAGATGATATGTAAATGCTTACCAGGAATATGAAATGATGTTAATCTGATCACTAAATGTTGCACCCTAATCATCAGAGAAATGTGAATCAAGATCCTAATGAGATACTCTCTCACACCTTTTGGCTACCAATAAAATGACAGAAATAAAAATTGTGGATAAGGGCAAGTAGAAATAGGTACTGTTGTGCACTTTTGTTGGAGTATAAAGTGATTCAGTAACTATGGAAAAGAACATGGAAGCTTGTTCAAAAAATTAAAGTAGGGTTAGTGTGTAATGAAACAACCCCATTTCTGGGTAGATATCCAAAAGAATTTATGCTTATAGTAACACTATACACAATAGCCAAGAAGTGAAAACAACCCAAATGTCTACTGGTGAATGCAGGGATAAATAAAAGGAAGTATATAACAGATAATGGAATATTGCACATTGATATTAAAGAAGAAAATGATGTCACATGTTACATCCCAGATAAATCCTGAGGAAGTAATGCTAAGTGAAATAAGCTAGTGAAAAAAGGAAAACTACTGAATGATTCCAATTATAGGAAGCCTCTAAAGTAATCCTGCCATAGAATGTAAAATGTTGGTTCAAAGTTAGTAGGGGTGCAGGAGCAGGGCGACAGGGAAGTTACTGTTTAATGAACAGAGAGTTTCAATTTTGCAGGATGTAAAAGTTCTGGAGACTTGTTTTACAGCAGTGTGAACATACGTCAGCACTATTAAATTGCAACCTTTATAAAAGGTTAAAATTTTACTATACTTTTCCACAATCACAAGAAACTTCAGATACTTTGGGGCGTAAAGCGAAGAACTGTGCCAAAATGTTTATTTCCTGAAATCAGCCATGTAAATATGTTCATAAGCATCATTTTTTTTTTTTTTTTTTTTTTTTTTTTTTTTTTTTTTTTTTTTTTTTCTGGTACCTGGAATCAAACTCACGACGTTGCGCTTGCCAGGCAGGAGCTGTGCCGCTGAGCTAAATCCCCAGCCCCAAACAAATCTTTTTAAAGTCTCAAAATAATAAAATAATGTGAATTCAGTCATTTTTACTATCTCCCTTCTAACAAGCAGATATTTCTACTCTCTTGCAATCTAGGAATATAAATTTAAGAAAAATTAATAGGAAAATTTTGAAACAATAAGTAGAGTAATAGGTCAAAACTCTCGGTGCAAAGCATGAAGGTGGGTGTAGGGGAGATGAACCACAAGCATTAAGGGTAGAGTAGTCTATAGTAAAGGAAGTAGACAGGCTGAGGTTACATATTTTAAACTTCAATAGAGTTTCTTCATCTATAAAAGACTGAAAAAATAAATTACTTTTTGCAACTCTTGAATATCTCCTCTGTTCCAAAAACACAAACCTCACATTAATTCAAATAACTGAAATCAGTTGTATAGAGAAAAGCTTTTGCTAAACTGGGATCCAAACATCCATTTCTTTTAGGCTTCTTGGGAAATACTCATTTCCAAGCATTGACATAAAAATAAAATTTTTCAACCCCTTTAAAGTTAATTTTGGGTCAAATTTCTGGGTGTCTTCTTACAAAATTATAATTTTCAATTCCAGGAAAAATATTTGCATTGTTATTATATATACATAAAATATATTGTATTTTAAAACAATACGCAGATTTTTTACATTTGAACATATCCTTCTCTATTTTTTAACCAAAAAATTGCAAAAATGGAAATAAATTTAAATTATTTTTCTTCCCCTGCCTTTAAAAAATGCTAATGAACAGCAAAATAGGTACAAGTGGATACAAAGCATGAGTTGAACTGGCCTTATGAAAGAAAATTCATAAGGATGGATGAGTTCAGTGCTTAAATGATTACAAATTCCTTATCTGGAAATTATTTGATCAATGGCTTCACCTTTACAATGAAATAGATCAAACCCAAGTTTAATATAGCTTTAAAATCTAATGGGTTATTAATGGAATAATTTTAAGGTTACTAATTGGTGAGTTATAATTCTTTTTTTTTTTTTTTTTTTTTTTTTTTTTGGTTTTTCTCCGGTACCGGGAACCGAACTCATAACCTTGCACTTGCCAGGCAGGCGCTTTTGCCCCTGAGCTAAATCCCCAGCCCCTGGTGAGTTATAATTCTAAAACTAATATAGAAGTAAATTACTTTCCTAACCTGTTCTTTGACAATTTATCTAGGAATATCAATTTTTGAACATCAGTGGTAATTGAGTAACAAAAATGAAAATACACACTATAAAATACAAGTTACATAGAGAATATGACATCACAATTCAACCACTCAGTGATTTATTTGACTTACAAGTGCCTCATGTCATTAAACAATACTTAATACCATGACAATTTAGCAAGCTAGTTTGTGGGAAATTGTTTTATTTGGGATTCTTTACAATTTGGGAATACTAAAATCTTTGAATAATTTTTACCATCTTATTGATCACTTTAAATTTATATATTTGGTAGAAAATGTAGAAATGTTTCTTAGAAGATCTTTGTGTCTACTTGCTGTGGCTATAAATCACTACTTTTCTACTTTATCTGTGCCATGAGGCAGCCATATTTGAGTGGCTCTAGTTCTCACGTCAAGCAGTTTGGTCAGAAGTCAAATGAAGGAAAGGAATTAAAAGTCAAAAGGTATAACCTGAAACTCCAACCTTGAGAAGGTGTTCCTGGCATAGTGCATGATACTGTCGAAGTCATATCTCTCTCCAAGGGAGTTTACCTCTCCAGGCTCCATCTTCAGAAAATTGTACTCTTGACCTGAGAATCAGGGATAAATAAATGGCAGAAGTATTTTAACCGAAATAAAAGAGTGCAAAATCACCAATCTTGGCTGTATTTGCATGCCAACTCCAGGGCAAAATCATGTGTGAAAATCTTCGCTCTAATATTGATTTCACTCTAATATTGTATTAAAAGAGCAAGACAGCACTGGAACGAAGTTTATTTCTACTAAAGCATACTCTTTTGTCACTTCATCATATTTGTTTCTTTAAAATATACTGTTTATTTATGTACTGTACAAACATTTGTAAAAGTTCTGTTTTTATCTAACGGGTTTTGTACTTTTCTCTTTTGATTATATTTGCCAACACCCAGAAAAATTGTCTACTATTTTAGAGCCTTCTTAAGAAATACTATATAGAAAGATATAAAAAGTTATTAGTATTAAATCTAACTTTGCAGGCTTTAACTGTGTTACTTATTCACTAAAGATAAAACAGGAACAAACATACTATCTTCAATAAGGGGGGTTCCCCTTGAAAAGGAGGTTCTACTTTGAGATATTTTTAAACACAAATTAGAAATTAATTTGTTTCTCTTACATCTGATATTTTAACTTTTTGAAACCTTCACTTTTAATAGATTTCTCTCCTTTTACTGGTACCATATGGTAACATTATTTCTTAAAATTAGAAAAGAAATAAATATATAGGCTTACTTCTGTAGCTGCAAAACAAAACCAAACAATTTCTCCTAGTAAGAGTTTAAGGTCTCCATGATTCCATTTTCACAATGTAAGCCACCAAAGATATGCATGTGATCTAAAAAGCTTTGAAATAGCAGAATATAAAAGTGAGCTAATGAGATTTCTATCTGGAGCTCAAAGCAGAACTCATAGAACTCATATGACTCAAAATAAGTTTTTATTCTAACTTCCATTTTTCTACTAAATATAAAAATGTCACATTAATAAAAAGTTTCTGAAAGCAACAAAGACATTGGGTGACACCATAAAGTATAGTATCTCTTCTACATGTGACAATGAAACACAGTATATACTCATTTGAACATTCAAGAAGAGAAATCCACTCAGAGTTACAGAGCCCAAGACCCAAACTAAAGTATTTTAGTCTATCTTTGAAAAAATTCACACAATAAATAATTTTAAATTAATTTATCAGCCTGTAAAATGAAGTATGTGTACCACAAATCTCTGATACAATTGAGGTAAAACAATTCTCAAGAAGCATCCTGAATTTTTTTTAATAGACGCAAGTGTTAAAACTCTCATCTTCACTATAGGTGGGGATTTTCAAAAATCTATGACCACATTTCAAGCTATTAACCCACAACACTTCAATGTAGAGTACACTATGGAAACAGGTTCTCTAACCAAAGAAAAGTGTTTTATAAAACTTTCTGAAAGTGATACACAAGCAAAGGCAGCAATACAATTGAGCACATGTAACTGATCATTTACACACGACACACAGCTTTATACAACGTAAAAACAGCATGACTATTCCATAGTGTAAATAAAAGAAAATTAGACCTGCTTCAAGGAAGAAGATAAGATAATTAGCAACACAGCCAACCAGAGCAAAACATGATTAACAGTGAAAACTTTTTAAAATAGCAAGCTTCGGTGTTGAAGGCATAGTCTGAGATTAAAGTACTCCAATCCTTATACCAATTTCTTATCAAAGTCACCTATTTTGCATATAAATTGGAGGCCAAAGTTTGTATTCATTAGTCATTGCTCTTACATAACATCTGATCTTAAGTTTCTGAGTGAGGATAAGTTATATACAAGATTCTCTATAATCTAATTTCTCCTGATAGCTACTAATTAATCATCCACTTATAATTTACCATGCTGCCACAGTGAGATGAAAATGAACATTTTTTTATAGCCTAGAAGTTTTACCACTCTTCTTTCTAGCTAGAATACTTCTACTCACTTCTAAATTTTGGTTTATTGTGACATCTCCCTTTACTGGCCAACTCACATTTATCACACTTTTGCTTAGTTCTCTACAGTATTCTCAACATAAAACTTTTGTTACTTTTTTCTCACTGGCTTGAGATTATATATATATCTCCTATGTTAAGATTTGCATTTTTCATGACAGTATCTCCAAAACCTAAAAGTGTTTCAATACATAGCTGGTACCAAGTATGAGGTGTGATCAAAGCATACAGTGAATATTTTATTTAAAAGTAAAAATTGTTACAGCAAATGACACATTGCCATAAATCTTCCTCAAAATACTTTCTCTTACTTTGAACACACTTACCCCATCATTCTTGCCACTTTCTGAAGCAGTTCAGGACATCCTCTTTCATGAGTATCTTTAACTACACTGTTCCGGCTGCTGAAATAAGCTGAATGAATTCAAGAGGTTTACCTCTGGTGGCCATTTGACTTTCAGAAAAAGCCAGAAGTTACATAGTGCCGGACTTGGTTAATAAGATAGATCAGTACACACCATAATGTTTTTATTTAACAGAAACTGTAATAAATGTTTATAATTGATTCATAACATTAAAGCATCCATGAAAAGGCAGGCATGAAACTTCACAAGACTTGCAGAACTGCTTTGGAAAGTGGCAAAAATGGTGGAATAAGTGTGTTTGAAGTGACGGGATATGTTTAGAGAGGTATTAATAGCAATGTGTCTTTTACTGTAATAATTTTTAAATGTTTAACTTAAATACTTACCAGCCTGTTTGTTCATGTCTCACTATGAACAGTGAAGGAATGAACTCTATTGATTACAGAAAATTCAATATTTGAAAATTAAAATTAGCCATTATATAAAAAAAAAAAAACTACAGTTGTACTTTGCTTATTTTTAAATTCATACTATATTACAAGAAAACTCCAAACATTATTCTGGCAACTAAAATGTACTGATCTTTATCACTATGAAAATTAAACAAATAAATTTAACAATGAGGCAATTTTCACCCATCAAACTGTCAGAGAAAATTAAATTTTAATTATGAATTATATTTCAGCTACTGAAAACATTCTTAAGATTCCGCTACTGAAAACATTCTTAAGATTTAGGGTAGTAAACTTTAGGAGGAAAATCTCAAAGAAAACTAGATTATCCTGAAAATGACTCACTCTGCTGGAATTTTCACCAGCAATTGCACCTGATAAAGCAAATGCCTGTGGTTGCAGTGCATGTCATGACAAGGCCTGAGCCCTTCCAAAAATCCCTGTAATATACAACTATAGTAAGAATGAAGAATGCTTAAATTTAAAAAATGATTCAATACCACTAGAGTATGGTTGCATAGCTCACATCTATTCTTGGAAAGCACAAGAGCTTAGAAATAAATCTTAGGAAGAGAAAAAAGCCTAGACATTACGAGATTATGCAGAGTCTAGGAAACAATTTACGATATAAAACCACCCAGGATGATTTTTAGTCAACTAAATGTTGATTCTACCAAATCAAAGTAAGTTTACTTTTTTGACACAATAAATGATAACAGTTCAAAGCCTCGAGACTTAAGTTTAAGTTTCCTTAAACGCAGCATATCTCAGAGCCTCTCACCTGGCTGGATGTTTTCCCTTATGATGGTTACATGGTTGTCTCGATCCGGTCGTGTATGCTCATGCCAAAAGCCTATCACATGGCCCAGTTCATGAACAACGATTCCAAACTTGTCACAGTTCTTTCCAATAGAGATGGCCTGAGGTCCATTTCCCCTCCGGCCTACATAGGAGCAGCATCTGTAATGAAGTAGAAAGTGGGTGAGGTGGTGGAAAGGATGTTCTGGATAAGCTACAACACTGGGACATTTGAAAAAAAAATAATAATGTTATGAACTGGACAGTGCAACACAGTCAGAGGCAGAGCAGCCTTCTGTCAGTACATATGGTTGCTTTCCAGCATCCTTTAAGTTTCTGTATAATAAAATTGCCAAATAATTGACAGAAATGCTTTTGTAATCAATCCATGCATGAGGAGATAAGCTGCAAATCATTTTTAGAAGTATGTAGGACATAAACTAGAAAAAATTATGATGATCTTTAATGTGCTCTACAGTGGGTCCTTTGTATCCATGGTAACTACATTATCAGTATGGTTATCTGGTAATAGCCAATATTTTTTGTATTAAAGTAAGTGGGTCCTTTGTATCCAAGATAACTATGTTGTCAGTGTGGTTATCTGGTAATATCCAATATTTTTGGTATTAAAGTCATTTATTATTCCTCTTTTTAGACAAATGCAATTAAATTTATTTATGGAATATGTCAATTAATCAAAATAAAAATTTCTGTTCCTCTTCCTGAGGGAGTTTTATCAGGAGAAAACTTTTGAAATAAATTTAAATTTTTCTTTCAGTTTTCCTCGGTTTCCAAAGGTGAATTACTACAGGTGAATAGTTAACCAGAGATAGAGACTGATGGTTGATATCTTCTCCAAGCTCATGTGTTCAGAACAAATCTCCATTGTGATGGTATTTGGAGGCGATACCTTTGGAAGTTCATTAGTCGTGAGAACAGAGTCCTGTGAGTGGGACCACTACCCTTAAGAAAGAAGCCTTAGAGGGGTCCCTTAAACTTTTCCACAATGGAAGATCACAAGAGCGTGTTCATCTAGGAACAAGGAAATGGGCCCTCACCATTCCCTGAATCAATACCCCCCAGTCTCCAGAACTGTGAGACATATACTTCTGTTGTTTGCCATTCAGTCTATGGTATTGTTACATCTGGAAAAGATTACAATAAATAATGAAGAAAAACTGACAAATAATATTGCAAAGAATTATTAGATTTTTGTGATTTGCATCAATTGCTCAGGCTAATATATGAGTGTTATTTTCTTATTTCACTTTCTGAAAGGATCTCCAAGATTGTTACAATAGAATACGTAATACCTAAGAATAATTTCCCACAAATTTCATCAGATGCTAAATAATATTTTCTTTTTTTTTTTTTTTGTTTTTCTCTGGTACCAGGAACCAAACTCATGACCTTGTGCTTGCCAGGCAGGCGCTTTTGCCGCTGAGCTAAATCCCCAGCCCCCGCTAAATGATATTTTCTATCTGAAATCAAGGTTCTATTTATTCATTTGTGTTCATGTATACATGTGTGTGTGTGACAGCCCAAGACATTCTTACACACACAATAGTGAACACACAAATACCCATTAAAATAAATCTCACATATTATGATATGATAGTAGCCACAGTTATAAATGCAAATAAGTTGTATCTACAACTTTAATAATTAGAGTTCAGGCCTGGGATATAGTTCAGCAGCACAAGCACGTGCTTGGCAAGAGGGAGGTCCTGAGTTTGATTCCTGGTACTACTGCTACTACTAATAATAATGATAATAATAATAATAAGTAGAGCTTACACTATAATAGCTTATTCATGGGACTACCCTGCTAAATAGCAATAGAAGTCACTAATATATATACAATATATAATATATAATATAATAAAATATATTATATAAATATATAACAATATAAAAATCATATTTATAATATAAAGAAAGAAGGAAGGTGATCTATAGATAGATAGATATAGATAGATATAGATATAGATCACCTTTCGTCTTTCTTTTTTCCTCTTACCCTCATCCCAGTTGTTCCTTCCTTTGAGCAATTTCTTTCCCTTTCATATAATCTGTTGTATGTTTTGAGTTTTACTTACTCTTTCAAGTTCCTACACCAGGGAAACAATATGATGTTTACATATGCGGGTCTGATTTATTTCACTTAGGAGTATGGTTTCTAGTTGAATCCATTTACCTACAAAAGCCTCAAGTTTACTTTTTTATAGCTGAGTAATACTCCAGGTAATTTCTTAATAATCATTTTAATCTCTACAAAGGTATTCAGTAGGTACTCAAATTCTTGCCTATTACATATCCAACAAATATTAGAGAAAAATATATTTTTGAAAATGTTGGAGAGATTTAAACTGAAGCTTTTGCTACTGTAAACCAATATTTAACAAATGGAAATAATCAGATAATTGTATACCAAGTAAACTACCCATAGTTATAATTCTTTCTTGTTATAATCAAAGAAGACTACTTTACAAAACAAATTCTGGGAGACAATAAAGCAATGTGGTCAATGTTTTTAACCCTTAAAAGCCCATTTTAAAATAAGTGACTCCATAGCAATTTTCTAGAATAAAATGGGTTTTCATAATGGAAAGGGAAAAGAGATTTCACTCTGACTTATTCATACAGCTATCATTTTACAATGGTCATACAAAAGAAGAAAATTGTGGTGCTTTGATCCCTGACTAAATAAAAGTTTTAGGCACAGAAGAATGCTAGACATCCAAATTAACTGCATAACGAAATATATGCTTATACAAATATTAGGTATGTAATAGCAGGGTAACACGCAGTTGGGCAGAGCACAATTTAATTAGACTCAAGCATCATCTTGATCTCCAGTGTAACCCAGGTTTCATTTCATTTTCCTCCACAGGGCTCTTGAATTTTTCTTTCTAATTTGTGTGCTGCATCTGCTCTCTCAAGAGAGCAAATATTACTGGTGAAATATTACTTTCATCAAATATTGGAAAATCTTGCCCCTTCTTAAATCATAAAGAACAAATCCAAATTTGATATTCCTTGCTTTTGCCTTCAGTTTGTAGACCAAAACACATTTAAAACTTTCCTTGAAGTTAATCCATAAAGACACTTATAACATTAGAATTGCTTCTACTTTTTCATCTGTTGAATTTGAAATCTGGGGGCTGGGATATAGCTCAGTGGCATAAGCGCTTTCCTGGCAAGCACAAGGTCATGAGTTTGATCCCAAGTACCACAAAAAAAAGAAAAAGAATTTGACATCTCTTTGATTATTTAGCTTAACTGTAAATTTTCCCATAAAATGACTTATTTATTTATTTATTCATTTATTTATTTTCTATAACAACAGGCTACCAAAACTTGTGTCACCACTAAAATATAAGATACTCAGGACAGAGCTCTTCATCTCTTTGGTTCACTGACTGATCACAGTATTTAAAGCAATGTCTAGCATAGATCATGCAATATTTGTTAAGTAGCCAGCTTGACTATTTATCCACCTATTATAACTTCTCCACTTGCAAGAGAAATAAATACCTCAACTTAATACATCCTTAATTCAACATATAAAAAAAATTTGTTCCACCTATTGTCTCCTGATCCAAGTTTAAAGTAACCCCTATTTCCTCTGGTTACATAACCCTCTGGTTTCAACGCAGAGTAATGCCAATATTTCTGAATTCTTTTCTCTCACATCAATACTGTCGGCTCTACCTTCAATCTATATCCGGAATCAATCTACTTATGGATGCCACTGCTAACGCTCTTGTGCAAGCCATGCCTCCTAACTGGTCTTTCTTCTCCTCTTGCCTTCCTATAACAGGATTTCCTTAGCACCATGATATTTATAAAATGTCAAGTCACATTATGACGTTCTTGGATGGCTCTGTGGTTCATTGTGTCAATGCTCAAAAATATCCATTATCCTTCTCTAGCAGAGGATTATACTTCTCTACCCAACTAATGCTGCATTTTATTGTGAGGCTTTCTCCGGACAATGCCGCAAAAGCCCAAACTGGTTGTATTATTTCTAGGGAGAATCTTTTAAGAGCCAGTGCACAATGGCCATATCATCCCGATCCCATCAGCTACATGTAAAGAGAGGCTTCTCAGTTACCCTGGGTGTGAGGGTAACAATCCTGAGACAGGGCCACATTAAACCATGAGACACATATAGTGTGAATAAGGAATAAATGTTTGCTGATCTATGCTACTGAGACCAAGGGGTCACAAGTTATTACGGTATAAATTTGTTAAGCTAAGTAAACAACCTCTTTAAAGTGTTCACAGAGGGGCTGGGGATTTAGCTCAGCAGCAAAGCGCCTGCCTGGCAAGCTCAAGGTTGTGAGTTCGGTTCCTGGTACCGGAGAAAAAACAAAAAATAAAAAATAAAAAATAAAATGTTCACAGAAATACCCAGAATATTCACACACAAATGTCTTACCACACAGAACTCATCTCTTACAACTACCCTGTCACTTACATAGACTCAGCCATATTTTACTCTTTTGTGTGCCTTGAACATGAATGCAGAGAAACACTTGTCCCTCAAAATCTATCTCCTGTCTATTTGCTCTGTCCAGAACTTTGTTCTCCCAGTCATCCAGATGGCTCTTCCCCTATCTTTTTCTAGTCTTTGCATAAATGCCATCTCCACCCCACTAATTTTTCTTTCTTTCTCCCTTAGAGTATAGAATAAATTTTGTGTTTCACCTATGTTTTTCTCTTCTGCCTTTTCATCCTAGAATGGAAGCTCTTTGTGTGCATAAGACTTACCTGTTCTGCTCACCGCTCTGTTCCAGCCCCTAGAACTCAGTCTGGCATATAGCAGTCAGGGTACAGAGCTCCACAATGTTTCTTGGAAGAGTAGATTTCAGAGGGCAGAAGGAGATAGGAGCCAGTAGTAGGCAGAGCTTCCGGGTCACTGATCATGGCCTACACAGCGAGTGGTAGACATTCTCTTCCTGAGAATGCCTGCCTTCCTCAGCCTGCCTCACCAGATTTTCCACTGGTATGATGCTAGAAACTATCTAATAACTTTTCCATAAACTATTATTCCTGCTTAAGTTAGTTCATTTTTGATGTATGTAAATAAGAGCCTAGGCTAGCACACTTCTCTGCCTAACTACAACTTCCTTGCCAAAAGAAAATACCTTATGTACAAGCTTATTCCCAAAACTTACAACACAAGTGGCACAAAATAGAAGAAACTCAGTAAGTGTAAAATAAAGACTTTTATGTTAATCTGAACAGCCAAATAGACCAAATAGACCACTTAAGTGGTTTAGATGGTCTGTTTGGTTAGTTGGTTTTTAGTAGTCATTAAATGTTGGTAGACAGAAAGAAAAGTGATGGTTCAAGGAACTAATAACTAATGAAAACAGGTAGTGAAAAGGTGAGATATTTGTTATGGTTTGTGCTTGGATGTCCTCTCAAAGCCTCATGCAGTCATGGGGCAGGTTTTTACAGTTTATGATTGATCCATGAGTCAGTGATGGGATTATGGTATGAGTGCTATACCCGCCCTGGGGCAGGTAGTTTTCATATGCAAGGGAGAGAAAGAGGCTGCTTGCTGCCATTCCTCCCTTTTGCTCTTCCTGCTTGCTATCTTCCACTGCCACGAAGGGCTGCCCTGTGCCATATGCCGCCCTGCCTTGGAGCCAGCTGAGTAAGAACTGAAACCTCCACAGACTGTGAGCTAAATAAACCTTTCCTTCCTTAACTCCTGGCATCAGGTATTTTGTCTCAGCAACAAGAGAAAAGAAACCAAGACAATATTATCTATAAAGTTTATAAAATAGACTAAGGTAATGAACTCAGCTGTATAAATCACTTAGAAAAAACAATACAACCTCTGTTATAAAAAGGTCTCACATTTTGCTGACACTAATTAATTTTTGCAATTAATAAATACTGCTTATAATACCTATGATGCATAATCACAAAATACAGAAACTGTTTGAATTAAAAAATATATTGCTGCAAAAGACAAACTCCACTCAAATTTCTTCCCTTCTCTTGTAATACATGTATCACATATTCTGGCCACTTTCTGAAGCAGTTCTGAAAGTCCTTTTTCATAAATATCTTTTATGGCTGTCTTGAATCAATTCAAAATATTTGTGGAAATTTCCATCAAATGAAAACCTTATGATGTGTTCTTATCCATACTTACTCACCAAACATAGTACTATGCCTCTCCTAACTTCCCTGAGGTCAAAATGGCCATGAAAGATAGACATTTCAAATGGATTCTGGTCACTGAGGCAGCTACAACAGAATAACTAGATACTCATGGAAAAGGACCTCTAGAACTGCTTCAGAAAGAGGCAAGAACAATAGGATAAGTGTGTTTGAGGCAAGATAAAGTATTTGGGGATGATTAATGGCAATGAATCTTTTACTATACTAAATCTTAAAAATTAATTATTCGCTACATATTTTAATCACACCTTGCATTTATTTAGTTGACTCCAAATATTTTGTGCAATGCCAACTTCTAAATCCTTTCATAATTGAAATTTTATGAGTTTTATATCAAAATGATAAAATACCTGTTTTCTAAATTGTGGCCAATTTCATTTCAAATGAAATTTAGAAGTACAAAATAATTAGAATGATTAGCAGGTCAATGATCAATTTTTATACGAAGAAACATCCTTTCTATTTTTGAAAAAAAAATAATTCAGGACAAATTTCAAACTACAAAAGGAGTCCCAAAACAAATCACCAAAGTGTAACATTGCTACTATATAAGACACAAAAATATGTCTATATTATTATTTAGTTCTGATTTCAGGAGTACAACTATAGATTTATGTATTTTTTAGTCAAGTCATATCTTCACTTTTCATATTGCTAAATTATTGAAGTATATGTTCTTAAATGCTTCTTCAAATTATTAAATGAACATTTATTTATTTATTTATCTATTTATTTATTGGTACTGGGAATTGAATTCAGGACTTTGCCTTTGCCAGGCAGGCGCTTATGCAACTGAGCTATATCCTTAGCGCTACTAAGTACTTTTAATGTAAAAGATAAATTCTTACATTGGGAGGATTATAAACACTGTATTTAGACAATGTTTAAACTCTTTATTCTTTCATGACCACACAAAGTACAGCAGTTTGTAGGTGTCCTGAAGGATATGGAGATAAACTATTTCCCCTAATCATTAACAAAGACAGATACTGGAGCAAGCTGAGGTAATATAACTGTTACAGAGCACACTAAGAAGGGAAAAGTATTTTGGATGCGTTTATTTTACAAAATATAAGGGTGGGAAGGAAGAGGCATTGATCTGAAAATATAATACATTTAGAAATATGCAAACTAAGCTATATCTATTCCAATTAAATAATCAGAAAGAAGGAAGGACGGTCAAGACTTGGGCCTTTTAAATATTAAACAGATATAAAGAAGCAGGAGACATTTCAAATGTAACCAAACCTTATCCAGCCAAAATTAGAGTAATTTAGAAGAAAACACTGCTTAATTATTAAACATTGCCTAATAATAATTTATGACACCATCCAAAAATATCTAGGAAGATAATGATACATAACCTTTTATAATGTCACTCGGGTAGAGCCAGCACTGAAATGCCTTACTTTTTAAGTTAAAGTATCTTCTAGGAAAACACAGTAAAACAAAGATGACAAAGTGAACCCCACTCTAAGACCTAGTCTTTTATATTTCCTGAATAAGTATATGTCATTAGAACAAGAACTTTTTTCTCCAAACATTAAGCTTTTATTTTGACTTCACCATATGCAGTACAACAAAAGGTATCCAACAGCAAAAGCAGACTGGAGAAAATTCATCATTCTGGAAGAACTTCAGCTAATAAATATAAACAATATTTTAAAAGCTAGAAAATCACCAGTTTGAAATGATGACAATATTAACATTCAAGGGAAGTGGCTGCCACCACTTGTACCCAGTGGTCAGTCACTAATGGACCATAAAGGGACAAGTCCAGGCATACGATCCACCCGACAAGAAGCCCTATAAAGTAGACAGCACAACCTATCAAATATTCTCAGAAAAAACAGCTGGATTTAATCCAAGCTTTATGTACAAATTCCAATTAGTTGGAAATACAGTGGAGAGCAGTTTGCAAACCTCAATGATAAGAAGACTTTTCAAGTATGAAATATTACGTGGAGAGCTGTTATTACTGCATCCTGGCTGGATTACGGGATTTGCGGAGAGATGTCGAGGGGAAGTGGCTGAAAACGGAAGCTGTGATAAGTTCATGACATTCCTTAAACGTCGTACCAAAGAACTTAGATTTTATGAATTTCCCAAATTAGCATGACATATTGCTAATGGTCCTCACTTTTAGTTTTGTTTTGTTTTGTTTTTGTTTTACTTTTTGGTGGTACCGGGAATTGAACTCATGACCTCACGCTTGTCAGGCAGGCACTATGCCGCTGAGCTGTATCCCCGGCCTGGTCCTCACTTTTAAAAGGAGATGAATGTCCTTCCTTTTCAGATAAGTTTAAGAAACACATTCAATTAACTGAATATTAGTAATGATCACTGGCACACTGCTAAATACCTTAAATATCAATATTTTCATGAGTTAAAGAACTTTTTCTAATTTTTCAGAGAATATTAATTATCCTATAAGATAGATATCTGGAAAACACCACTAGAGCGGAAAACACCAAAGAGTCTCAGAAGGAGTGGAATGTAGATCTGAGGAACATGTTCAGAAGGGAATTCTAGCGCCAGCAGCTCAGGGAGGCAAGGAGTGAGGGTAAGTGCAACCGCTCAGGTATTGAGATGTGAAGATACGAGAAAGGGTATTGACGTGGGATGGGGCAGACACCAAAGGACAGGGTGAATATCATACCAGAAACTTACAGCATAGATTTTACAACAAGCACAACAACACCACTAGATAAAATACTGACGGACATTCTCACTCAACTGAGTGAGATGCCTGCAATACCACTGTCGCAAGAGAAAGTAATCGTGGTCGCGGAGGAGTACATTTGCGGAAGAGTCAACAATTGCTGTGACTATGGACTACGTTTCTCAAATACCTACCATTTTCCCATGTAAAAATTAAACTTTTGCATGACTCAAGTACTATGTGAATATTAAGACGTGAATCCTACCTACGGCTTTGAAAATTCTTTTCTTGCTAAATGTTCTGAAATCATTCTCTGGCTCTACTTACCCACAAGGTCTATAGGTGAACACAATGTAACTCTCCTCATCACTTCTTTCTATGAAAGTCACACAGGTGTGCTTTTCCCAGTGTCTCATGGCCTGCTTGAACATGGCTCGCTGGCTGCCTGGAAAGATTGTACGTCTTTAATGAGTGTTTGACAGCGCTGGCTTCTCTGTGCTGAGCCTGGCAGGGCAGGGCAGAATGCCACTGCTATCATCAACCAAAGAAGACTAGTTTATAGCACCACAAATGAGTCATTGTTAAGAATCGACACTCACTTCATAATCAGAAGGGTTAAGCTCACTATCTCTACAAATATGTGGGTACAAGGTTCTGTAAAGGGTGTATACATTCCTTCTGTCATATGAAGAGAAATAAGCCTCCAGATTTAATGGGCACATTTGAAGGTCGGTTTAAAAACCATAAGAGTATTTTACACTCTTAGAACACAAGACTAAAAATATTTTCTCAAGGGCAAAGAAATTCTAAACTCGTAACCGAGGTGAATGGAGTATTTTTCCAAGTTGGATTGAATACTATGTTTTTATGTTAATATTCTATACAAATACACACTTCGTCTATATGATAGCTTCTATTTCTTTATCAAAACAGACACTCTGGGAATATCTTACCAGTAAAGTTGCCTCCTATAACGTAAGGAATAACACCTCCAGGCCATATTCTTTCCGTTCTGGATGTAGCAGCTCTTGGAACTCGGTTTTTCTCATTTTGCCCTGAGAATTTTTGAGGTACTTTTCCCTTAACTGTACTGTTTTGTGGCAAGCCTGTAGTGACATTTAAAACATTCTGTGAAGCAGAAGCCCTTGGTCAGGGAGTCATTTACCTCTTAACGGACAAAAGTTGAAATGTCGTATTTACATATTTGTATAAATATGCCTGAAGTTAAAAATAAAATGCAGTGAAGAAAAACCTTTGAGTTGTATTACGTATTTGAGAAAGGCATTAAAATATTTAAGCTTTCATGTCAAAATACTATTTCTGAATGCTCTGTGAATGAAGTTGATGAATTTCCATTTAACAGCCTACAGGAGATACAAGTCAGGCAGGCGTATAAACAATGGAACAAATCGTGCTATATTTTCTGTTTTATTAACTCACTGACAAATATCCTCCAGATGATAAAATAGTGTTTAGTAAAGTTCTTTAGTATTCAACACTCTTCTTATCTAGCTAAATCCTGAATCTTGCAAGTTAGGATTGGTGTACTGTAGCATGGCCTAAAATTATGAATAGTATGTTATATATAGATAGGTTTAAAAATAACATGAAGACAAATGTAGTCTCAGCCACCTGAGACCAGCTGCCATCTCCCCCTGCAGTTTCCTCTGGATTCGTCCCCAGGGAGTCTCAGCGGTCACACACCACAGGAACAGGTCACCATAAAATCCAGCTCATCCTGGAGTAACTTCCAAATATAGAGTCCTTTACTATTCTTCATGACCTTCCATATTTCTTGCTATTTTTTTCTTTTTCATAAATCTACATGATTATTCTTTCTTATTCACCTCTCATTGTTGATACAGACACCTTCTCACTGATAAATGCTTTAACTCTAATGTTGAATATATGGCCTCTCTGCCTGTGTCTCTAAAAAGTCTATCTGTTCAATGTTCTGGAGCAAAGTTTCTTTGCTTAAGTAAATTATTCTTTGAAAGTACTTCCAGAATTTCATTGTCATCTATCAATCTAAGGAATCTTAGGCTATGAACAATGAATGGAGGATTTTAAAAATATTTTAAAGCTATAAATAATGGTTAATAAATTCAATACTAGGAACATGAGTTGTAAAACTAAAATCAGTGTTCTGAATGCCATATATATGTTTTAATGGTAAAAATATTAATTATTTGAGTCTAATAAATCAGGCTACCAGTTTGATATAAGTAGATTTTATATTATTTGTATTATTTTATATTATTTCAAAACAAATAGTTATATTTTTCATTTGACTAAAATACCTATTGCTCTATAAAAATATCTTCATAGGATTCCCAATTAACTGGAAAAAGGTTTCAAAAATGAAACAAATATCTAATACATTTTAATGAGGAGAAACCCAAAATAAGATAAAGGAACAGTTCAAATTGTCCTAAGTTAAGTTCTAAAAATCTTACATCAAATATAGGCTAACCAAGTAAAAATCAATGAATTATTTTCTTACCATAAAGCCTCTACATTACATCATAAGGCTATGTGGAATTTTAAAAAGACTACATTTCTATGAGTATAATATTTACTATACATCAAGTCAAGCGCCTGCAACTTTAAACATTGATATACCAGAGCCAATTCTTCTTATCCGGTCTATAAGTTGATAGAGGGCCCCTCGTTTCTTTGCTATACCGTGGTCTCCAAGTCCACCTTAAAGAATAAGAGAAAATAAAGTTAAACTCAAATGTTTCTGAAAGTGCTTGCAAATAAGCAATAGTAATATGCTACAACGATTTCTCTTTAGACATCGTTTTTATATGGTCTTAGAATTTGGAATGTCTGTGAATCTTTGTAGAGGGTAAAAGTTCCACAGCAACAAATGTTGGTATAGAAAAGGAAGGAGCTACAATGTGGGAGATTTAAGGAGCAACCTCGATCTAAGTGACTTTATTTGGACATCATGACAATTGAGTCACTGTTGATAATTTGAAATATTTTTCTTCTGTGACCTTGACATCACATATGGTTATATAAAATGACAGCAAGTTATTTTGTCCTATTGATTGCATTCCAGCTATTTTCCCTATGAAAACTGAATATTTTCAGAAGCCAAGTCAGCAAATTGAAATGTAAATATTAGGAAAGCAGATCTGCAAATAGTGTAAGTAGAGCCCTAAAACTTTGAAAATTTTTGAAAAAAATTAAAATCATATCAAATTCTATACAATGACCTCTCTAGTTACTAAAATAATGACATAAGTTGAACAAAAAGACAAGGTAAAACTCCAAATGTCCAACTGCAAAACACATTCTATTGCAACACACAATGGAAAAAAGGAAATGCAAACAGAAGAGGGCCGGAGGGGAATGAGGAAATATGTCTTTTCCTGATTTAACCAATAAAGATTAGAAAAGGTGGACTCCTGGTGCACGCTAAAAAGCAGAACACTCAGCAAAGGGTCTTAAAAAGCCAAGACCCTTGATTCTCATTCCATGGTTTCATAAAATGCTGCTCCCGGTTTTGTCCTCTACTTGTCCTACTGTCCTTGGATTTTTTAATAGATGAATAAGCAAGGGCCGTCATCAACTAAACAACCAGTACAGCTACTGCTAGCACGAGAACAAGTACAGATGCTTTTGCACTACTGTCAAAGTTGATGGTTCATAGTTTCTTTTGGGTAAGACAATAAAAGTTAGTCCAGGAAGACAACAAACTCTCCTCAGACTTTGAACTAAACCTAATACCTGAAAAGCTAAAAATAAAACAATAGAATCAATTGCCATATAAGCCTCTTAAAAAGAAAATCAAGTAAGTCCTTATAAGGCAAGCATGTTACAGCGCTTGCTCACTGACCCATGATCTGCCTAATTATTTGCATTACATGGTCACATTTTTTGCTGTACATCTGGAGAAAAATTTTTGAGATTTTTTTCATTGAACGTCTAAGAAAGATGAAGTCATAGTAAAAAGTATTCATTCCTAAGTAGTTACAAAAATATTTTTGAAGAATGGCATCTATAGTTTGAAATGGCCATTGTATAGCATCTATATTTATATTAGAAAGGCTTAAAATAGAGGTTTATAAAGGGGCTACCTATGAGAAAAAAGAAATGTCTTTGTTAACACTGAGGTATGTATAAGGGTAACTCCGAAGTGTAGAATTGAATAAAAAATGTTTCAAAACTATTAAAGACAATAATGTCCTAAATAATATTTTAGCAAGTTTTGAATGATTTTCATATCAATTGAAATAAACCTCTACATAGGTAGCTCACTAAAGCAGCAAAAAAAGAAAAAAGCTTATTTTTGACCTGCTCTAAAACACTGAATGTGTACAAATTAAATAAATATTTATGGAAAAAGTACACTTTAAATTAAAAAATATTACTTAATACAGTACAAATAAATTAAAAAGAAAAAAGAGTAAGAAAAAATAAAATATATCTTTACATTGTTTGAAATTGACCTGGATAGTGCAAGTGACTATTGAAGTTTAAGATATGTGTGCCTTTCATTTATACATTTAGAATAAATCTTTTTAACATTATATATAATCTCTTTTATTCTATGTATCTAAAATAATGTTATGTTTTCCAGAGGTACTATCACGGAGCTTAATTTTAAGTTAAATAACAAATAACAACTAGGCATAGTGCCACACGCTTCTAATCTAGCACTATGGGAGCCTGAAGTTCAAACGAGTTCCAGGCCGGTCTGGGCAACTTAGGCACTTCGTGAAATCCTGTCTTAAGATAAAAATGTTGAGAAACATGTCTCAGAGCAAAAACCCTGGGTTCAAACTGTAGTGCTGAAAAAAAAATTAGAAATGTTTAAGTCACAGATAATTAACGACTTCAAATAATGGGGAAGTTGAATGACCTGAAGAAAGCTTAAAGCAAAGGAAAATTTTGACAGAAAATCTAACTTACAATGAAACAAGGATTTTGCTGAGCAGTATCATTGTTCCTCTGTCCAGAATAAATTTTATGGCAGTGTTAAGAGAGATACAGCAATTGAAGAATCTGCCAATAAATACGTTCTACAGGAACATACTATGATTCTACTGCAAAGCAAGATTTTTCACTATCTTAGGGTGTTTCAGAAAAGAAACTATCACTATATATGTAGCAAAAAACAAAGCATGCTATGTTTACATAGTATTTTTATTATTTTAAATTAAACTTAAATTTTGTCTTACATACTCTTTGTTTGAAATAATTGTCTTAGATGTGATAATATTTTGACAACATAGGGCAATGTCCTTATTCTTAAAGAGTACATACTAGACTACTTAATAATAAAGTGTTCTAATATTATTTGTTTATACATATTGTCTGCAATCAACTTCAAACTGTTCCATATATACTGATGTGTATATGGGCACACACAGAGCAAATTGGTACAAAGCACTAAATCCAAGGAGTGTTCCACACTTATGTCTCTGCCACTACCCTATCAACTTTTCCATACGCTAGAAATTGGCTGAAATAGAAAAGTTGCAAGGCAAGAAAATTGAACAAAAATGTATTAACTCACTGTGAAAAGTCTTAAATCTGTTATTCAACTGTCTGTTAGATACAAGAAGGAAACTACGTATTTTATTTTCTATGGAATAGAAGACGAAAATAAAAATGGTAAAGAGGGGAAGGTAATGAAATCAAAAGACATTACCTGAAATAACTACAACTAGCTACAACTATAAAATGAAATTTTATCCTTTTAGTGTCACATTTTTTTTCCAAATTATAATATGAAATAAAAATACAAAACATAATTTTAAAATGTTTGTAAAACCAATTTTTAAATAGGGACTGAAATCATTTTTTAATTATTTCACTTCTCATATAGCTGTATTTCAAACCTGTTCAAAACAACTAAAGTTGAAATTGTCTTCTGGGCTTTCACATGATATCTGCATGTTCCTAAACAAATTTTCATTGGTTTCTCTATGAGTAATTTACACTTTGCAACTGCATATCTAAGTAGGAGGCAATTTAGTATAACACTAAAGAGTTTGGAAGGGGGCCTTTCTTAGAACTGAACTGTGTTTCTGACTTGGCCACTTCCTGATTATGTGACAATAAGAAAGCCATACAACCTTTAAACTTTGGTCTCACTTGTAAATAACAGCCTTCTTAGTGCTGACCCTCATAAGTTTGTTGTGAGGATTCAAACAGTTAATATCTTCAAAGCAAAGCCATGCCAGGAATACAGTAAACCCTATAATGTGTTTGTTAAATAAAATAATAAAATACTATGAATAAACCTAAATTTCTAAATATGCACATGTCTGTGCAAGAAAACAAGGTTAACCAATGGGACATTAAAAATGACACAGAGCATTTCTACTATTTCAAGAGTACATTTTCTCCAGAATGAACACAGATTTACCCAAATAAGGAGTCATACCTGTGGTATGTCCAAGTTGTCCAAAGGGGTTCTGGGTCAGGTCAATTGTCCTATCTATTTGAAAGATATTTAAGTCTTCATCATCTAAGGCAATGTCACCCCAAAATACAGCTAAAAAAGAAAGGTGAATTTAAATGTAAAATATTTCACATTAAAATGAATGCACACAAAGCTAATTAGAAAAACGTTGCTGAAGTAACTGGATGCATTGGACTTGTTACAGTATAAATAAAAGCCACCTGTGAGAGACGCATGATCCCTGTTGTTTTTGGTTATGTTCTGTCTTTACCTTCATAGCATCAGTATTTGTTTCCTTGAATGAGATGCTCAGTGATTGACATGGTTGGGGTGCTCTAATGAAAGAGACATTGGCAATCACGAGCTTATTGGCAAATATGTGAAAATCTGAGAAGAGTGTCTATCCACCCTGTGGATGCTAGTGACCAGTCACAAGTCATCGCTAGCTGGGGAAAGAAGTTGCAAGTAAACCAAGGGCTGTGATAATTTTGTAAACTAAGGTATAATCAAGACAAAAGAATATTTTGCCATTATAGCAGTTCATTAATTACTTTAATACATTTATAATGCACTTCTCCAAAGTCTATATTGCCCTGAGCCAATACAAAATGGGTAAATAACTACCAAGACAACATTTAAGTCAACATGCATTTGGACAACAATTAGTTCCAGAGCTCTGAGTGTTTATGACAAAAAAGATCTGGTTCATATTTTCATCATTACCTTACAATCTAGAAAGCACTCTGACTTTATCTAGTGCTTTATGCTACTGAATAAATAAAACTCTACAACCCAATATGGAATATTGGAAAGCTCATTTATAAGGAGAATGTGAACTTCTCTGTTAAGTTCAGAAATAACATTCACGTAACAATGAAATGGTCTCGTTTATTTGAGCCTAAATTAAACCAGCTGGGTTTTTAGAACTCTCAGATGTCAAAATACAGTGACTTCAGGAAACACAGCAAACTTGAGAGAATAAATTGATTATGACACAGTAAAATTTGACAACTGGCTAGAAACGTTAGGATATTAACTTCAAAATTTCTTCTCTAAAACCAAAGGGGAAAAGGAGGAACCACTTTCAAAATTTAGGAAGTAACAAAAATCTACATTCTTAAAATTACCATGTTACTGTGCTTTCAAATTTTAGCATGACCAAAAACAGTTAATAACATTAGCTAGCATGAGAGTGAAACCAGTCATCAAAGCTATGAAATGTTTTAATTCACTGGTTTTATTTTCTCACCCAAATCTGACACATGACTTAGATTTCTATGTTTAGGGTTTAGATTTCTATGTTGATCTAGAAACAAGAAAACAAAATTCAATTTGAGGTTGGTTATCTGTTTAACATATGGAAAAGGCTTTCTTAAAATTTGAATCCTCTCTTCAGTCACTATCATTTTTCCTTCTACCAACAGTCTTTCCTCTTGCCTGTGGGATGCCAGTCTAATGTGTAAAGAAATGTTTATTATCTTTCACTGTCATGGGAACACCACTGTAAAGAGTCTGTAAAAGGCATTTATAGCACTATCTAAGAGGTTAGTGTTGATATCTAAAGCTGAAGTCCACATTCTAAAATTGAATTCAACTTCATACACATGCAGGAAAAAAAAATACATAAAAACACAAATGCTCCAGTGACCCTAAAGCCAGAGAACCTAGGAAAGAGATGACCAATCAGAATTTAAAATTTTACAGTTGTAATATAGGGATTATTGGTTTCATTAAAATAACGTCTACTTCTTTCAAGACTCTAAGGTAAATCTAAGTTTGTGAGTTACATAAAACTGCTGTTGAGTGTATTTCTCTGCCAATAATTGTGGGCACTGATCAGCACAGATTCTCAACCTGGCTCTTTCCTCTTAATGCTGAAGGGCAGTAGCAAACAGACACTAAACCAGTACTTATCTAACTTTTCTTTGCAAAGAGTCACAGCGAATCTGCTGAAAATGAAAATTCTGATTTACCCATCTGGAGAGGAACTTCAGATCCTTACATTTTTAATAAACTCCCAGTTGCTACAAATAATTATCATTGCCCTCTTGTGTATGAGCATTCATTTTTTTTTTTTCTGCAAGAATAAGCTTCCAGGGGCTGAGGATTTAGCTCAGTGGCACAGTGCCTGCCTGGCAAGCACGAGGTCATGAGTTCGACTCTCAGTACCGCAAAAAAACAAACAAAACAAAAAAAATAAGCTTCCACTCGACTAAGTCGGCTGATGGACTGGAAACTGAGACACCCAACCAATCAAAGTGTGCGTTTGTCAGTACTACATTTTCCATATTAAATGGAGTACCCATAAAATAGAACTCAAATGTGTTTTAGATTTTTATGCTCTTGTAATGACTTTGCGCAAGCTGCAGGATTCATGCCCTGATGGATTATATGAAACACAGATCAGCAGTCCAAGGATAAGTCACTTCATAGAAGCAAAAACATTACTTCTGGAGAGAAAAAAAAAGGCAAGAGGCCAGATGATACTTAAAAAGGAGACAAGACAGTTTTGGAGGACATTAACTCACTTTATTTATCTTTAGTTTTTCTAATCCAATAACTTTGGAAGAGCTTGGCAGTTCTGAATACATCATAAATTGCTTCAGAGGAAAACCAAGCACTCTTTTGAAAGTAAGCAATAGGTAATGTTGATGCTAACTCATTTGTGTGCAGATTCAGTGAACTATACACCATGTACATCTTTACATCTTGATATGACCAACCGAAAAAAGACACTTTAGAATTTCAGCATACTATATACAGGAGTTTAAAATGCATAAGGTCTTTCTTCATATTCACGCACACGACGGTTTCCTTACTTCGTCTCTACTCAAATCTAAGCATCCTATTTCTGTATGCTAAAATACTTCACTTACACAGTGGAATAGCAAGCTGGGGCATCACAATGTGTACTTACAATTTACATTGTAATCTAAAGTATATTTTATGTATAGTTTCAAAGAGATATATGAAATTCACCATTCTGCTTTGCATTTTTTTGTTTTTCATTTTCTCTAGTATTTTCTATTTACTTTTTATTAAAACCCCACAAAATTAGACAGAAAAAAATTAAAAAGTATAAATTGTCACTTCTTGGCTCATTCACATGGTGATTTGAAATTTTTGAGGTCAGAACTAAAAAGAATATGGGAAACGGGTTCATAGACGACGATCCTAAGGAAATACTCAAGTGCAACTAGAATATTCATTATCTATTTGGAATTCTGCTTGGATTCCAATGGTCAAAAAGGAGGGAGGGTGGAGGTAACCAACAGCCCAAAATGAAATGTCAGGAAGAACAATTTTCAAACTACATAGAAAACCACAGGTTTTGTTTTTCTCCTAACAGTCATTTCCCTTCAATGAACTACAAAAATTTCCAAAGAATCAAAGACCTAGAAAGATAGTAAGCTTTCGCTGTGGTACACAGAGTAATGCACTTTATAAAATAATATATGGTAAGGAGAAGTGGTCTACAGTTATGATTCCCTACTCCTTATCTTTTAAGTATACCTCTGTCAACTACTTCCCCATTCAATAGTGATCTTATCTCTAATGTTTTATGTAAAAATTATTGTTACATTCTCTTTAATGGTTTGAACAACCTTCCATTCTTACATCTGGTAATCTGAGCAATGCAGTTGAAGACAACAATATGTAATATAACAACCACTGTTAATTCCTATCATTTTGTCTTGAAACCCTGTATCACTTTTAATGTTCTTGCTTTGTTTCATTTATGTTTGTAATGTTGGTATGTTGCTATTGTTCTTTTCTCATTTACTACTCTCTTAAAAATAAAAATAAAAACAGTGACCTTTGGCTTTTTAGTTCTGAGACTGGGATCCAAGGATTAATTATAAAAAGGTGTCAAGTTTGTGATTTCTGAAAAACTGTATGCAAAACATCCAAATACATGGGTTATTAAAACACTGATACCATATATTTTTCTGTGGAACTATTCTCTAATTAAAAGAGATCCCACAGAGTAAAAACTATCCTTTGCCTAAAGCAAAGTCTATCAGTCCACTTAGGGGAAAATATGTACAAATTAAATACTCCCTAGAAAATGAATATATTCACTTTAATTAGCACTATAATACCTGACAACACTAAAATGCCTAAGAGCATAATATGATACAAAAGAGAAGACTCTCCACAGGAATTACCTACAGAAAGCCTTCCCAGAAAGCCCCTCTTCCCACTGGACCTTGTTAGGTCTCTCATCTGCTTCTCTGTCCTAGGGTGCTTCTGTCAATGATCAGCCATCACGTGGGATTTTGTAATTACATTTTCAACCATCTGATCCTTTAGTCTGATTTTCAAACTAGTAATTACAACAGGTAGCATGTGTTAGTCATCGTTATTTCTTTTTTTGAAGAGGAAAAAATGTTATTTCTTTTTTAATAAATTAATATGAACAGATACATGGAAATTTTTGCATATAGTGGGATGACATTTGAATGTATAGCTACACTGTGTAATATTCAAATTAGATTAAATGTATCTCTCTACCAAAGCATTTATCACTTCTTGATGATGGAAATTTTCAAAATCCTACTAGAGCTATATAAGCAGCACTCCCCAGCCACTTCTCAGGATTTTAGTCTGGGAACACTTCCTCCTGTGTATTAAACACTGTGCTACAGCACAAGTCTGTTAAAATAAGGAGGCACTTTTGTGGTCCTGTTTTTAAAAATCCTTTATTCTAGCCTTTGGAAGTATACAGTACATTGTTATTGATACTCACCTTACCTTGCAATGACACCTTAAATCCTCAGTGCCAGAGTGTAAAAATAAGTAACTCTTGAGTATATATTTTTAGGAATTTTTTTTAAAATGTGCATGGAAATATATCATGGATTGGTATATAAGTTGTGCAAGAAAAGTGAAGCTAAGTGTGCCATATATTTAGTAAATTTGCCTTAAAACCAAAACACTAGCTATTTACCCATTTCAAAGAATGACTATGGGAAATACATCTCTTTTTCTGTAAATACCACATCTATAGTCTCAGGAGAAATAGACTGGAACTAGTTATTTTGATATTTATGGGACCTGGAGAGAGAGCTCAAAGATTCAAGGATAGCCAA